TTATCTGCCCGAACTGCCACAGACAGAAAGGTATAGTTTCTAGTTGTAGTAGAAATTATACTTACCTGTTGGACACCACTATAAACCTGTAAAGGATCCCTGTAGCTGTGTCATTGTTATAGTACTGCTGTTAAGAAGGCCACGATACTGTAACAATAGATTGAAAAAAACATAATTTTAGATATATATAGGTATTGAAATTATAAATAATCTATAGCAGATAGTATAGCAAAATGTTCATTATTGTACTTCAAAATGGTGTATTGTGAAATTATTATTATTTTTTTTTTGGTATTAAGATGACCCCTTCGGTCAAGTACTTTATTATTGTTTGGGTTACTTTTACAACTAGATGATCTACATCCGTCGTACATATATTTCTATATACATAACCTCGATACAATACTCTTTAGTAACTACTTTAGAACAATTTTATTCTCAGGGTAAACTTGCTAGAGCTTTCCGTACTCACAATCCGGCTAATTTAGGCTTTGGTTAATACGCATAGGCCGAGATTCACCACTTGCGATCCAGTTTCCTGATCGCTGCTACACAACCTACTTCTGCCCTTATAAAGTTCACTCAAACCCTGATACACACTTACAGACTATTACTAGTATTCCCAGCTATCCCAAACTACTAATTCAAATGGCCCGGAAGGGCTATAACCTGCTCCTGGTCCTCATGGTTGGGTCCTTTTTTTACAGCTACCCTTTGGCAGCCTGGTTGGTAAAGTGCCTTGCCAAGCACTTCGGTCCTGTTTAATTTTACTGATTCTCCAAGTATCAATCTTGTATGTACAGTGTGGGCATCCTTTAATCAACATATAAAATACATGATTTTTAAAAGCTTATAAATAAAAAACTAAAGTAGATATTAACCAAATCTCTTCGTAAAATAATAAAATCAAACCTAAAGAACAAAGTTATGAAGCTTATTTTTTTAGTTAATTAAAATTTTATTTGGCTGAATTGTTTTAAAGTTAGTCAATTTTATTAATAGAAATCAAAATTTGGCCGCTCACATGATATAAAAATAAAGCTTCCTATTGGCTAGAATGTATAAGAAAAAAACTGTTTAGGTAGTTTAATATGATTGGTTGGTTTGTTATAAGCCTATATTGGTTAGATCAAAAAATCTTATTGCAGAGTTTATGATAGTCTATGCATAATCTTATAACTGAATTTGTAATAATGCATTAAATATGTAATCATAGTCAGTAGTAAGTGTTATATAAATTGATCAGTAAATTTATATTTTCTTTTTCACAATTCTAAATAAATAAAATCAGAGAAATTAAAAAGGTGTCATTGATGTTATGATAATGTTGTATGTGATTGTGGGTAAAATGAACGATTAAGCTAGAGTCTGTGTAGATAAAAAGCCTACTTACCAACCAGTTTGAAATCAAATAAAGAATGATATTGAATTAGTGTGTAATAGAGTGGTAGATAGAGAAAAAAAAAATAGTCAAATGTATGATATTACATTGAAATCAGCTATACTTATCTGGATAGATAAAATGAACGATTAAGAAAAGTTAAAGCTAGAGTCTGCATGGGTAAAAGCCCACTTACCAACCCATTTGATATCAAATAAAGAATGATATTGAATTAGCGTATAATAGGGTAGAAGGTAGGGAAAAAAAAATATAGTCGAATGTATAATGTTATATTGGAATCAGCTATACTTATCTGGAAATAGCACAGTATGAATGTTTGAATTAGGATATTGGTACCTTCAAAGCTTCTATGAAAGAATCATCTCTATCGCATAATTTGTGGTAAAAAAATCTAATGCATTCAATTCATCAAATGGATTCGCATATTATTTTGTAAGAATGATATAATAAAAATGTTATATTTAAAGAGGATAAATCTGTGAAGACAGTTTAAGTCTTTTTTTCTCATTTTGCAGTTATATCAGAGGAAGTTCGATAAAAGAAAGAAGGTAAATAAAATAAAAATAAAATGTACTCAATTTAAGATAAAATATAAAGTACTTGTATAAAAGCTGGTATTTAGGACCTAATAATCGTTAATCAGCTTTACAACAGCCACATTATTAAAAAATAGTACGATTATTTAAAAGGAAGGCTCAGTTACAAGAGATTATGATACAAAAACAATCTAAGAATCAGCATCGGGTAAAAGTTTCAAAAACTTCTAGCACTAGTGGTGACGAATTTAATAACATTGAGGATACTCGTAGTATTAGTAATGATGAACTTAATGATATTGAGAGTAGTGATACAGAAATAAATATTCTGAGAATTGAAGAAGCAAATAACATTATTACAAGATTGTTGCAAGCAGTCTCAGAAGTGACTAATCATCGGCCACTTGTGTATGTTAGAAATTCAGTAAGAGCAAAAAGGCGCCAAAGACAATTACAACGGGAAGCTGCAGTTAGAACACCCAAGCTAGAATCATTTTGGCCATCAGTAAGTTATTTTTCAAATGGCTTGTACTTTACAGTAATATGAAAAATATTTATTTGAATTATTTTTTTTTTGAATAGATAGCGAATGCATGTACAAGTATGAACGATAGTGATGATACAAGTATGAATGATGAACCAACTAGTTCAGATAGTGATGATTTTGAGGTTAAGATTGTCAGTGACCACAATTTAATGTCTCCTGAAAACTTAAATAATACAATTAAACAATTAGAAAATGAATTCAAAAGTAATGAGTATAGTGAGATCGAGAAAGCTCGCCTTTATACAATGTTATCTTATTTGCGTCTTGTAGAACATAGCCGAAAGAGAGTTGAGGCAAGTACTATTGTAGCAAAAGCAGCTAGGAAGGGTGTTTATCATGCCTGTTGCATACATGCATGGGCAACAAATTATATTCAGAATGGTGCAATTCTGATTTCAAAACAAGGCAAATATCCAAAAACCTGGAGCTTTTTGTGGGATGAAGATATTTTGATACAGATTAAGTCTTTTCTCCGATCAAACAAATGGTGTGTTAATGCAAATGAACTGGCAAATCATGTAAATGAAAAAATATTTCCAAACCTTTGCTTTGATCTATCACCAATGATATGTATAAGAACGGCTAGAAATTGGTTGGAAGTATTTGGGTTTGAATATTCAGAAGTCAGAAAAGGAATGTATATAGATAGGCACAAGCATACAGATGTAGTAGCTTATTGTGAAAGGTTCTTAGAAAGAATGGCTAAATATGAAACACATATGATAGGTTTTTCTAGTGAAAATATAGAAGAAGAAACTCAACTAGCTTTTCAAGATATTGTAATTTTAGTAACACACAATGAATATATCTTCTCAGCATATGACGGAAGACGTTGGTTATGGATGCCAAAAGGGGAGCAACCACTTCGTAAAAAAGGCCAAGGGCAGTCAGTTCATGTTAGTGAATTTCTCACTGATGTTGGTGGATGTTTAGTATTACGTGAAGAAGACAAGGTAAACATACAACTTTTAGATTTTATTTTAATTTACTTTTTTCCTATAATTAAAAACTCTAAAATCTATTTTTAGATCGCTTTTTCTAATCTGCTATCAGAAGCTTGTGTTATAACCTACCTGGGTAAGAATGGTGATAAGTGGTGAGATTTTGATGATCTTGTGGACCAGGTTGTAAATTGGGCAATTCCAATATTTGAAGCTCAGTTTCCAGATGCAAAAGCTCTTTTTGCATTTGACAATGCAACTGGACATTGTGCATATTCCGAAAATGCCCTTGTAGCAAAAAATATGAATTTATTTCCCAGTGGCAAATAGCCAAAAATGAGGTTTGTAGATTATTTTAAAATTTTTAAATTCTTTATATATTAATATTTAAGTTTAAATTTTTAGAAGTACTATGTATGGAGACAACATTCTGCAAGAGATGTGTTTTCCTGAGGATTATGATGATCCTGATTTGTGTAGTAAGCCAAAAGGCTTGAAGCAAGTTTTGAGTAAACGAGGATTGTGGCGTGATGGAATGAGGTTGGTATGTAAGAGAGGTTGTGAAGAAGGAAGAATTGACTGTCGTGCTAAAACTACAATGGCGAATCAACCTGATTTTAGAGCACAACATGGAAAACTTGAAGAAGTGATTATTTTAGCAGGTCATGAAGTTATTTTTTATCCAAAGTTCTATTGTAAGTTAAATTACATAGAAAACTTTTGGGGGTCAGCAAAGCGATATGCACAAGGTAATTGTAACTATACTTGGGAAAGTTTGAAGAAAACTGTACCACAAGCTCTTGAATCAGTATCTCTTACTGAGATAAGACGATATGCTTAGAAGGCTTTTAGATTTATAGATGTATATCACAAAGGTTTGACTGGAAAAGTTGCAGAATATGCTGTAAAAAAATATCGTTCGCATTGCCATGTTCCGGATACAATTTTAAATGAAATTGATGTAGTAAATGAATAACAGATAAGCAAAACAGGTAAGCAAAAGTTTTAGTGTTATTAATAATTTTGTATTTATAATTTTTTACTCTTTAATAAATTAAGCTTTTAATTTAGATCAGGTTAAAAAAAATTTAAGACATTTATTTGTTACAAAAATTAAAGATATGATAGAATGTTGAGAATTGGAGTTAAATAAAATAAAAATAAAATATTCATTTATTGTCAAATTTTGATTTCAATAATTTTATTTTGAAATTTTACTAGCAGCGTATTGGTTAAAGGGAGATAGATAACTTTAGTATATATGTTGTGCCTCAGATGGATCCTTGCGTCAGATTGCAGCTGACGCACGTCAGATGACTACCAGATGACCAGCATTAAATGATCTGCAATAATTGGCCTAAATTACCCTGTGATCTTCACCCTAACCCTAATCCTAACTCAGGCCGGGAGTCATCTGACGCAAGGATTCATCTGAGGCACAACATATATATTGTATGTTGAAATCAAATTGTATCTTTTGTATTACTAAAAAATCAACAGTAATATTTGAAAGTATCGATTATAATATTTATTTGATTTATTGATTATATAAATAAGCATCATTAAGATTATTCATTAATCATATCGAAAATGATGCTTAGGATTTCAATTACATTATAATTTGCATATGTATTCGAACATAAATTTCATGTAAATATAATCATTAGTTGTGCACTATTATGGTCACGATATTAACCAGATACAAATACGAAACTTATTGTGATTTTTAATTTTAATTATTTTATTGTCTATATAATATTCAATATAATTTTAACTATCTATAGATGTGTTATATCCGAATGTTGGGTATACTTTTTTTTTTAATTTTTTAGTATCAATTTGCTGCAATTTGATTGGCTCTGACTTAATTTTGGTCCGGCTTATATCTTGGGCAAAATTTGGCCGCTTATAATAGAACTTGCTAATTTAAGGATACCCGCACTGTAGTACCGTCAAAAATCTGTGCTACCTCTCTATTCAGGACTTTTCAAGCAAGTGTCCCACCACCATATCAGCCCTGTGGCTTTCTGCGATTCTGAAGAACTTATCTTGGGTTTGTACTGACTAAACTGGCTTGCATACCTTTGTGTAATTCCTTATATTACACAAATGCCCTGGGATCTTCCAGTTTCTGGCAAACCATAATTGGTATGACCATAGTTATAGAGTCTCGAGTTTTTCTGGCCACAACGATAGTTACCGAATTCCGTTTTTTTTAAAATCCAATTTTCATTCACCATGAGAATTGAACCAATACTCAACCGCTTGGGGATGTGACAACTTGACCGCTTCACTAAGTCGCTATACCTATATATTGCGAAATTATTTTTATCTATTGAAATTATTATTGACTATTGAACTTTATAACTAGAGGTTTGCAACTTATGCTTATACCTGTATTTAACAAAAATCTAGTATAGATATAAGTATAAAAACTCAGACAAAGGTATGGGTACAAACATAAAGTTTGGCATAGGTATAGATATAAGCACAAAGAATTTAATACAGATAAAGAAATAAGTTTAAAAATTTGGCATAGGCAAAAGTATAAATATAAAATATCTAATATAGATATAGACATAGACATAAAAAACTTAGACAAAGGTATAAATATAGACAAAAAAATTTAATATAGGTATAAGTATGAGTATACTAGGATCTCAAAGAACTCTAATATAATTCAGAGGTTACTAAAAAAAGAAATTTGCATAGAAATTTATCAAATATTGCATTTTTATATAGTAAATTTTTTAATTTTTAGCTTATTTTATATATCTATTTGGCTGATATTATATAAACTCAGATCTGAGTTGTATTAGAGTTCTTTAGAGTTTTGGCATATTATTCCAAAATAATATTTTAGAATATTATTTCTAAATACTTAGGGTAGTGTCATTTATTACCTGATGATTTTTTATTAGAGGCTTACCTACCTCCCCTTCTCTTAATATAAAAAAAAATCAGATTCTTATATATAATTTTAACTTTTTTACCCCTCTCTCTCTAAAAAATCACCTGATTTTTGTCACGTCTCTTATTGTAAAACAAATGAAATTAGAGTTGGTGCTTAAAACAAAATTTACCTAAAACTAATTTTAAAAAACTCTAATCTAAAACTAGTTTTAGATTTTTTTAAAAAAAAGTAATCTCTGAAACTATAATTTAAAATCTCAAAATATAATCTGAACTTTAAAAATTATAATATATTTAAATTTATTTTGGTAGTTATACTTTCTAATACTTTTATTTATTTCTCTAATATATATATTTATATATTATATATTTTATACATATTACAACTGTTTTTATATATGCAACTAATTTAACTCTTTTCAAAAATCTCTTGGCAACAACAACCAAAAAACTGAACTATAGAAAAACAATATAAAAGACATCAAAGTAAATAATAAACTTGGTTTTATGAAAGTAGATATATTGTTGATGAAGTATCAAGAGTGTAAAACTAAAAAATAGACTACTTTGAACTAGTTTTTGTAAAGGTTAAGTTTTGGTTGATAGACTTCTTTATTATATTTAGCATCTAAGCCAGAAGAATATTTTGAAAATACAAAACAACTAAGTTGATATTAGGAGTATTACAAACTTTAAATTATTTCTATATAATTGTAAAACTTACAAGAAACAACTACAGAAAAGTCTTGTTAGCCTTTATTTTTTTTAAATAAATTTTGTTAAGAAGTGGATATCTTAGCTTATTCTCTTCAAAAAATCAATATATAATTTTCTAAAATAGTTAGTATTGTTAATTATTCAAAACAGGAGATTATTATATAAGTGTTTACTTTTTAAGTAGATCTGGTAATCTACATAGCCAGATTAGTCTGACATAATATATCATATCTGGTTATAGTTTAAGAAATACAGAAAGACAAACTCTAAAACAACATACGAGAATAATATAACTCAAATACTATAGATCTGTTAACAATACTCTGAGACTATCAGTACAATAATAGCTATTTTGTCTAGTTTAGTTACTTTTACTTTAGTGATCCTATTTTTATTTTATTAATCAAAAGTAAATTACAAATATATATATTCTTAGCTAGCTAAACCTATATGCATATTCTAAATTACTATATTTCTGTATAAATAAAAATTCTCTCAATCTATCTTATTATTGTAGTAAAAATAAAATAAACTCTAAATTTATTTTAGAGTATAACCCAGAAGTGACTTGCCTAAGTGAACAATTTTTTTTTCTAGAATCCTCAACTTTCTGAGGATATATGCCCAGATATCAACAGATAGTTTTCACTAATCTTGTCAGAATTATCACTCTACAATAAAGTACTGCCAATTTAATAACATTTTTCATAGAGAAGTAAAAAAAAAAAAAGATATATAAATAAGTACAAGAAGAGAATAAGTAAAAAAATGAATATATAAGAAAATAACCAAAATATAAAGAAATTAAAAAAACTATCCTAAAATCTAAGAAAATTTATCTATATAAAAATTTGCTAACCAGATAAAAAACTATCTATATAGTTATAAAAATCTATATATAGAACTATTTGACAAAAGAAACTATAAACTAATATATACTTTAATCTGTGCTAAGAACTAAAAATTATATATATATGACTTCAAAATAATGCATATCTCTAATTTATCACTCTAGTTTACAACTCTTATTTAAATCTACCTTGAATCCTAAAACATTAATTTTAAAGCTTTATTATATGATCATTAATTCTATTTTTACCAGGCCACTCTTTTCAAGCCAGACCTCTTATACAGTCAAACCTTCATAAATACAACATATACAGACTAGCCTAAAACGTATATTTAGAGAGGTTTGCATTTAGAGGAAGCTAATCAAATTGCAGCTTTTAATATTTGATCTGCAGACTTATGTAACAAACTTAAATACTAACTTCTGATTGGCTATGTATACTTAGAGAGGTTAGTATGATATAAAAAATCTTTTAAGTGAACATGTATTTGCAGAATATAGAAAATACATTTAGTACTAATGATTTCATACAGCCAAGA